GACTTGCCAGTATCCACTAGCTAAATCCAAGGAAGTGAACCATCGCTTGCCCAGCAGATTCTGCAGGGTGATATCTATAGGGGGTAAAGGATAGCTATCCTTTTTAGTAACTTTATTGACCTCCCTATAATCCACACATAGCCTTGTGGTGCCATCTTTTTTGGCCACCAAGACTATGGGAGACGCCCATGGTGATTGACTGTCCTCAATCACATTTCTTTCTTTAAGGTCCCGTAGCATTGTATCTACGTCAGCACGAATACCGTATGGGACGGGCCTTGTTTTCTGTCGGATTGGAGGATGCCCACCTACATCAATGTCATGGGTCACGAGATTCGTTTGCGTTAGTTCTTTGTCCGAGAGAGCGAATACATCGCTGTACTCTTCGATCACCCTACGCAGTTCCTCAGGTATAACCCCGGCCTTTCGGTTCTTATTTAAAATGTCTACTAGGGCATGGGTCCTCTCAGTATCTTGTAACACAGCATGCTGCTGTAGAACCATCATGTCACTTGGGACATCCACTATCCTCGGATCAATCCAAGTCTCTGCTGACCATGTACCCAGATCCTCTCCTTGACCTATCACCCAGGATTCTGAACCTTGATTTATGACCGATAATTCAGCTTTACCTTGGTTCACCTGACACACACCTGACTCGATGCGTGGGCTTTTAGACCAGAATACGCAAGCTCCATCACGGAAGCTTCCGCGTATCCGCACGGTTGCAATCTTGCCTGGTGCTACAACGACCCTCCTATCCGAGTAGGCCATAATTGGATGCAAATCCTTTGTCACATCCCTGTCCTTATACGGGGTCAATCGTAAGGATATGCCAAGTTCGCTTAAGGCATTCGTACCTAATAGCAATGTGTCGTCCTTACTTTGCTGCACGTGTAGGTGCACGCTAGCCTTGCCGGCTCCTACCACTGTTACCTCCGTAACTATCTCTGAGAGAAACCCCATAGCATTTCCTGACGCGTCATAGAGTTTCCTCTGTTTACCATCTCCTACGATGCACGCTTTTGCGTCCAGATCTACGCCACGCTCCCGCACTTGCTTAAGGAGACCTACCGGGACAATCGAAACTACTGATCCTGTGTCCACCAGTGCTTTTGCTGCAACGNGGTGCGGTGGTCAGTCCAAACGGTAAGACTCGAAACTGGAATTGTCCAAAGGTCGTGGTGAACGCACTTATTTCATTCGCTCGCTCACTTAGAGGGACTTGCCAGTATCCACTAGCTAAGTCCAAGGAAGTAAACCATCGCTTGCCCAGGAGATTCTGCAGAGTGATATCTATAGGGGGTGAAGGATAGCTATCCTTCTTAGTAACTTTATTGACTTCCCTATAATCCACACATAGCCTTGTGGTACCATCTTTCTTGGCCACCAAGACTATGGGAGACGCCCACGGTGATTGACTGTCCTCAATCACATTTCTTTCTTCAAGGTCCCGTAGCATTGTATCCACCTCAGCACGAATACCGTATGGGACGGGTCTGGTTTTCTGTCGGATCGGGGGATTCCCACCTACATCAATGTCATGGGTCACGAGATTCGTTTGCGTTAATTCTTTGTCCGAAACAGCGAATACATCGCTGTACTCTTCGATCACACTACGCAGTTCATCAGGTATAACCCCGGCCTTTCGGTTCTTATTCAAAATGTCTACTAGAGCATGGGTCCTTTCAGCACCTTATAACATGCTGCTGTAGAACCATCATGTCACTTGGGACATCCACTATCCTCGGATCAATCCAAGTTTCTGCTGACCATGTTTCCAGATCCTCTCCTTGACCTATCACCCACGATTCTGAACTTTGATTTATGACCGATGATTCAGCTTTACCTTGGTTCACCTGGCACACACCTGACTCGATGCGTGGGCTTTTAGACCAGAATACGCAAGCTCCATCACGGAAGCTTCCGCGTATCTGCACGGTTGCACTCTTGCCTGGTGCTACAACGACCCTCCTGTCCGAATAGGCCATATTTGGACGCAAATCCTTTGTCACATCCATGTCCTTATGCGGGGTTAATCGTAAGGAGATGCCAAGTTCGCTTAAGGCATTTGTACCTAATAGCAATGTGTCGTCCTTACTTTGCCGTGTAGGTGCACACTAGCCTTGCCGGCTCCTACCACTGTTACCTCCGTAACTATCTCTGAGAGAAAACCCATAGCATTTCCCATTTCCTGAAGCGTCATAGAGTTTCCTCTGTTTACCATTTCCTACAATGCACGCTTTTGCGTCCAGATCTGTGCCACGCTCCCGCACTTGCTTAAGGAGACCTACCGGGACAATCGAAACTACTGATCCTGTGTCCACCAGTGCTTTTGCTGCAACGCCAAAAATTTCTACTTCACAAGTACTTGGCTTACCCACAGCGCTAGGGTGCGGTCCGACTTCTTTTCCAGTACTTTGAACCGTCTTACACCACCTATCCAGCTCAGTCACAAGTGAGCTGCCTAATTGTCGCGCTCTGTTCGATCCGTCCCCCGGTCCGTTTTCCCTATGACTGTGGTTTCTGGGTTTTTCCCGTCTCCTACAATCCACTGGAGCATGTCCTGTCTTGCCGCAATGACAGCAATTGGAACTAGGCTTTGCAAGTGCACGGGTCCCTGTTGGATCATCAGTGCCATTTGGTGCGGTAAATTTCTGAGATTCTATCGGTTGCCGATCCGCAACTCCCTTCTGGAAACCTCGGTACCTGCTGAAGTAGGGAATTTCATCAGCCTGCAGTTTTTCCAACCGCATGGCCACTCGCCTAACCTCTGTGTAGACGTCATCAGAGGCGTCAAGGGCAGCTAACATATGGTACGAGTTATGCCAATGTTGCAAACAGGAGTACAGTTTGGATCCTCGTATGAAATCCCATTCAGAGCTAGGATGTATCCTTCGGGACAAGTCCTCCATCCTACAGCAAAACTCAACTACCGTTTCGTTGGGTCTTTTCGAGAGTTGTTCCCAATCTCGTATATTTTTTAAGCGTTCGCAAGGGTTTCTACGGGCCATTTTTAAGGCGCTGACGATATCATCATAGGTTCCCTCCCGAATCAAGGGTGGCAATCCTTTGTAAATTGAAAGAGCTACTCCCTCCAAATGATTTACAAGGATATCTCGCTTATCGGAGTCAGTCCATAGGGCAGAAGGGAATTTAACCTCTAATGCGCGTAGGAAATCCGTCAGTGAATTTTTACCGTCATACTTGGACACATTTGCCACCGTTTGGGCTTTAAAAACTTCACGGAAAACTGTGAACATGTCATCCACCCCATCGCTACGGAATGGCCTGGCCCTACTATTGTATGACAAAACGGAAGATGTCTCACCACTGATCGATTCTTGGGAATATTCCGGTGAGGATGCTCGAGACGATCTTGACGACTTGGCTGTTCGGGTTGAGTGATGCCCATCGGTCGTATTTCGCGACTCGTTCCGCGCCTGAACAGAATGATCAGAAACTCTGTCTCTAAGGGACGCATAATGGGTGCGAACTGCACGCCAGTTGTCAACTTTCTCACCTGCGGTAGGCGCAGTATAGGGATTCCCTGCCACTGCCGGCGCGAGCCCTCTTTCCATACTTCTGACCTGATCCTGCAAAAATTTCATCGAATTTTCGAGGTCCTTTATTACTTTGTTTTGCTCATTTTTCTCTTTTTGCAATTCCGCAATTTTTGCGCATTTCCTATCTACGGTCTCTGTGACTTGGTCTAGTCCACATTCTAGGTTCTCTGCTATTCTGCAAAGCATGCGGCTGTGAGCAGTTACGCTGGGTAAAAAGTCGCGCAGCTCTGCTTGCGACATCTGAATTTCCTCAAAAAATGTCACATCAGCGGCAGGCCTACTTGTTTCAAGACTTTCTTTCACTTTAATGATCGCGCACTGCACCGATCCGCGTACTGCATCTAATATAGCTCTACGCTTTATGCTAGCCAAATGTCTAATTTGATCTCTGAGGGCTTCATCTAGTTGCAGGAGAATATTTCGAAAAGTTTCGTTTATATCCTCTAACTGACAACTCACCCCTATATCATCCCAATTGTTCAGAGCTTGGGGAACAGATTCGCTATGCTCCATAGCGGTGTCGATTCCGACACTTTCTTCTGCGTTTTCCGCGCTAGTCATTTCAGAGTTCATCTGGAAATGTGACTATTAACCGAGTCACTGGCTTGGCCCCCAAGTCGTAACTTTTTATAACGTTTTATTCGTTATAGATAGAGAGAAAACACAAAAGCAATAAACAATTTTAATAAAAACANGAGTGATGCCCATCGGTCGTATTTCGCGACTCGTTCCGCGCCTGAACAAAATGATCAGTTATCCTGTCTCTGAGGGACGCATAATGGGCGCGAACTGCACGCCAGTTGTCAATTTTCTCACCTGCAGTGGGCGCAGTATAGGGATTCCCTGCCACTACCGGCGCGAGCCCTCTCTCCATACTTCTGACCTGATCCTGCAAAAATTTCATCGAATTTTCGAGGTTCTTTATCACTTTGCTTTGCTCATTTTTCTCTTTTTGCAATTTCGCGATTTTTGCGCACTTTCTATCTACAATTTCTGGGACTTGGTCTAGTTCACATTCTAGGTTCTCTGCTATTCTGCAAAGCATGCGGCTGTGAGCAATTACGCTGGGTAAAAAGTCGCGCAGCTCTGCTTGCAACATCTGAATTTCCTCAAAAAAATGTCACATCAGCAGCAGGCCTACTTGTTTCTAGACTTTCTTTTACCTTAATGACCGCGCACTGCACCGATCCGCGTACTGCATCTAATATAGCTCTCCGCTTTATGCTAGCCAAATGTCTAATTTGGTCTTTGAGGGCTCCATCTAGTTGTAGGAGAATATTTCGAAAAATTTCGTCCATATCCTCTAACTGACAACTCACCCCTATATCATCCCAATCGTTCAGAGGTGTGGGACCGGATTCGCTATGTTCCACAGTGGTGTCGATTCCGACACTTTCTTCCGCGTTAATCATTTCAGAGTT